ATCATTCCAGGGCCTTGGTTGAGACTGTCTGTGACTCTAAACTACTCATATTTCTTTTCTGAGCCTCAGTTTGCTTACCTGAAAAGTGAGTGAAATGTCTTCCCTGCATACTGTAGCTCGGTGGCTCACCTTTCACCTTCAAGAGAAAATCTGAATGTCCCAGGACATTTCCAAATCCATTCCTCCATCTCCAATCAATTCCTGACTATTCTCCAGCCGATTAAATTGCTTGCAATTCTCCAGAGATCTGCTGGTTTCAGTTTCTGTGTGGTTCTCTCTGCCTGGAATGCTCTTTGTTGTCTTTACAAACCTCCATCGGGAGTCACTTCCTATGAAATCTTGCTTTCCTCTTTTTTCAAGGCTATATTGATGCCTTGAAGAGTCAGTTTTGCCAAGCCTTTCAGAACATTGACCATGGCAGTGTGATTGTTTCTTCTCAGACTAAACTCTACCAGGGCAGGGAAATCCCAGGGCTAACATGGCTTTGTACCCAGCATATTGTGCATGGTCCATAAATGTCTGGGAATCAATAAATAAGTGGGATATTTGGTAAACAAAGAAGAGGGAGGCAGACATATACAGCATCCCCAAGAGTTTGGATGAGAAAATGTACCTGTGGCTCTGGGAGCTGCACAGCTTCAGCTCTAACCCCGTTGGGTGCATGGCTTCTTGGTCCCCAGGCTTTTACCACCTAGGAGACAAGGACTTGAGTGGGGACTGGCCACTTCTGATCTGGGTGTCCCCAGCCTCATCTCACTCACCTGTAGCTCCCAGAGTGCCCTTTCAAATTGGCTCAACCCACCATCTGTCAAAATGTCTCCAAGAAGGACTGAACGAAGTGTCTTCAGAGTGTCCCTGCGGGCCCTCATCTCCTCTACTGCATTCCACAAGGTGGGCCTCACCTCTTTCACCTGCACCCTCTTTCCTGAGGCCCCCAACAGAGCGGCCTGGAGCAAAGTCGGGGAGCTACCTAAAAAGAGACGACACAGTAGACTTCTCTTTCTGGTGGCTGAGACAAGATAGCAAGTTCAAGGCTTGGTTTCACAGATTAGTGAGCCCATCTCAAAATAAAAAATAGAATAGGCTAGGGATGTATCTCAGATGTAGACTTGCCTGGCATGTGTTAGGGTCAAGGTTCAATTTCCAGTCCAAAATCATCATTATCACCTTTATAGTCATCATCAGTGCCACCACCATCATTTTCATCTTCAACAGCACCATCACCATCATCACCACCATCACCTAAGCTCTTAGTTGACTTTCACTGTACTTAATGGCCTTGTCTCAACTTCTCTTGGATTTATATTTTTATCCACAGCAACTCTAGTCTATCTGCCACTTAAAGCTTGTGCCATTTATCAGAATATAAAACCAGCCTGCAGATAAACACACACCTGCCCCTCCCTGCATGTCTGCCCTCCCTTTCAGACAGGTGTTAACCTGTAGATTGGTTTTACTTTCTAATTAGTATCTCAAGGGAGTGAAATGCTCCAACTTATCTTCTTCTTCCATCCATCTTGAGATAGGGAGGCCTGGGAACTTGTAGCCAAATGAATGTTGGTTGTAGAGACAGGGTTTTTCGAGACAGGGTTTCCCTGTGGAGCTTTGGAGCCTGTCCTGGAAGTAGCTCTTGTAGAGCAGGCTAGTCTTGAACTCACAGAGATCCGCCTGCCTCTGCCTCCCAAGTGTTGGGATTAAAAGAGTGTGCCACCACCGCCCGGCTTAACTACTGCTCTTTTTCTCTTTTTATTTTTTTTCAGATGCTGGGAATCAACTCCAAGGCCTTAAGCATGCTGGGCAAGTGCTTACCAATAATCTATTTTCCAACCATTCCTTGATGTTGTTTTCCAGTGTGTGAGACTATCTGGCTGTGTAACCCACTCTAGCCTTGAGTTTGTAGTATTCCTACCCCACTCACTCTTCTGAGTGTTGGAATTACAGGTATGTGCCACCAAATTAGGCTTCATTGACATTGTGGTCTAATCTATATCCCCCAATGTAACCTCCTCCCAAATCTGGTATTACAGCTTCAGGATCCTCATTTGTAATGGGTATGTGGAAATAGGAAAGTGTTTTCTCCTCTGTAGTCCTTTCCTAATATATAAGTTAAGCCTGCCTCCCTCTCATTTGTGAATTAGACTTGCATTCTGGGATGTGGCTGCTTACTCCTGGAATCCCAGCACTCAAAATGCTGAGGCAGGCAGACTTCCAGGAGTTCAAAGCCAGTTTGGGCTACAGTGACACCCTGTTGAAGAAAAAAGGTGTTAAAATGCTTGATAAAGATCCTGAATATGGGGGCTGGAGAGATGGCTCAGAGGTTAAGAGCACTGACTGCTCTTCCAGAGGATCCGATTTCAATACCCAGCAACCACATGGTGGCTTACAACTATCTATAATGAGATCTGGTGCCTTCTTCTGGTGTGCAAGCATGCATGCAGATAATTGTATACATAATAAATAAATAAAATCTAAAAAAAAAAGTCCTGAATATGGTGTGGTGGTGGTGGCACATGCCTTTAATCCCAGCACTGGGGAGGCAGAGGCAAGTGAATCTCTGTGAGTTCGAGTCCAGCCTAGTCTACAGAGGGAGTTCCAGGATAACCAGGGATACACAGAGAATCCCTGTCTTGCAGAAAAAAATAAATTAAATTAAAAATTGAAAAAGATCCTGAATGAGGTGGCAAACAACTACAACCCCTGTAACCCCTGTAACCCCTGTAACCCCTGTAACCCCTGTAACCCCTGTAACCCCTGTACTCAGGAAACTAAGACAGAAAGATGGTGAGTTCTAGCTAGCCTAGGTTACATATATACTTCAAGAATAGCCCAACCTTCCTGAATGCTGGCCTCCCCAGAGAGTCAAGGACTCTCTCTGTCTACAACAGGGCAGTGGCTGGTTGAGTAGTAACATGAAACAAGCCTACCAAATCACAGAGCTTTCCAAAGAACTCTACCCCCACCCTCACCACCTTGTGGGTCCAGACGAAGAAGTAAGCTACTATAGCTGTTTCCCTCCAGGAGCCAGGAGACAATCCAGGGCAGAGAGCCCTCCTCCTCCCCAGCAGCCTCACCAGCCAGCACTCGAAGCAGGGGGCAGTCTCTGCCAGGGGGAGAGAAGAAAGGTGATGCCCTATGAGAAGGACAAACACTGGCCATAATCACCCGACCTAGACTTTTTCATTTTTTCCACATACCCACCAGACTGAGGTTAAGAGGACTTGCTGCTCTTGCAGAGGACTGGGTTCAGTTCCCAGTATCCACATCAGGTGGTTCAAACTGCCTATAACTCCAATTTTAGAGGATCCGTAAGCTCTGGGCACAAGCAATGCACATATAGACAAACGGATACATGAATAAAAATGAATTTTTTTATTTTGTGTTTTTAATTTATTTATCTTTATTTTATGTGCATTGGTGTTTTGCCATGGGTGTCATGTTCCCTGGAACCAGAATTACAGGCAGCTGTAAACTGACATGTGGGTGCTGGGAATTGAAACCAGGTTCTTTGGAAGAACAGTCAGTGCTCCCAATCACTGCGCCATCTCTCCAGCCCATAAATTATTTTTTTTGTTTTTTTTTTTGAGATAGGGTTTCTCTGTGTAGCTTTGGAGCCTATCCTGGCACTCGCTCTGGAGACCAGGCTGGCCTCGAACTCACAGAGATCCACCTGTCTCTGCCTCCCCAGTGCTGGGATTAAAAGCATATGCCACCAAGGCCCAGCCTCATAAATGAATTTTTAAAGAAAGAATCTTAGCTGGATGTTGCTGGTGTACACCTTTAGTCCCAGCACTTGGGAGGCAGAGGCAGGCAGATCTCACTCAGTGAGTTCGAGGCCAACTTGGTCTACAGAGCGAGTTCCAGGACAGCCTCCAAAACAATACAGAGAAACCCTGTCTCAAAAAACAAACAAACAAAAAAACAAAAAACAAAAAACAAAAACAAAAACAAAAAAAGAATTGTAAACAATAAAAAAAGAAGAAACCTTAGAATACTCTGAAATTTAGGTTACTTTACCCACTTCTTTTTTGATTTCTATTTTGTTTTTAAACACTTCTGAGTTTGAGAATATTCCTGTGGTACTACACATTTTGAAAACTGGCCTGAAATGATTATTCACTATGATAACTTGAAGTTTTCATTATTATTATTGTTATTTGGGGGGGGGATTTTTTGAGTCAGGGTTTCTCTGTGTAGCTTTATAGACCAGGCTGGCCTCGAACTCACAGAGATCCACCAGCCTCTGCCTCCTGAGCGCTGGGATCAAAGGCGTGCACCACCACCGCCCAGCTGGTTTTCATCATTTTTATTTATTTTATAAATAGGCATGCTCTTTCTGCATGTATGCCTTTATGCCAGAAGAGGGCATCAGATACCACATAGATGGGTGTGAACCACTGTGTTTGTTAGGAACTGAACTCAGGCCTCTGGAAGAGCAGCCAGTGAGTGCTCTTAACCACTGAGCCACTCCTCCATCCTCCAGTTTTCATTATTTTTGAACACTGAGGGAAAGGTATGAATAGGGCGAGAAGATGGGCTGGCTACTTGGGGGAACTTTCCAATCTTGGCTTTGAACATTTAGATTCATATCCATACTTTGGTGTCCACCTCACCTTCCAATGCAACCACAAGACCTCCTCAGACTTACGGGTCTCCTGGAAGCTGCATGATCCTCAAGGAACCGCGACACACCTGCTGGCTCTCAGGCCCAGGGCAGGACATGGTAAGAGTGAGCAGAGAGCAGGCCCTGTAGAGGACATGGCCGGCTTGGGAATGAAACCTACAGTTGTATAAGGATTGGGGGTGGGCAGGGTGACAGGTGTCTTGTCCTCACCTGGCTTCATGCCCAGCAGCCTTCAGGTACAACTCAGAGGCAGCTCGGGCGTCAGACACCTCCACTTCACGGGCATCTTTCACCACCCTGAAGAAAGGGAGGTTGAACACAGCCCTGTAGCCCCTGTGCTATGCAGCAAGCTCCGGCATCTCTGTGTTCAAAGCCCACGACAATGTCCATAGCACACAAGAATCATCCCAAAGGCTCGGAGCTCATTATACCTTCTTAAATGTCTCTCATCTTCCTAACCTTGTTTTTCTCATATGGTCTGCCCAGGAAGGGACCATTTCAAAGATGGAAAAACTGCTCTGAGAGGTGTTTGGAACCACTAGGTGTGATACTGGACTGATTCAGGCCATGAAGATGGGCATGAGAGCTGAAATGTATTTGATATGAAGGGAGTGAGATGTGGGAAAGGAAAGAGAATGGGGAAGAGATTCTGGGAGTCCATCTAGGCCCAGTAAGCACGACTCCAAGTGGAGGACTTCATTCTCCATAGTTGACAGAGTAGAACCCTCATCCCAAAGCTTATCTTGATCTGGTTTATCTGGAAGGTGTCACTGTGGCTTTAAGGCTAGCACTCTTGTCCCATTGGGCCTTAACACTTACAAGCCCAGAGGGGTCACATCCAGTACTGGCAGGTCCTCCAGACATGGTGAGAGCAGGTCCTGAGTCTGCCCACTTGGGCTAATCTGGGATCACACAAAGACATTCATCAGAGGCTAAGCCTTTTCTCTCCTATAGGTCCTATGAACTAAGTGAAGATAAGAACTCAGCTATTAGCCAGTGGTGGTGTCACACACTTTAATCCCAGCACTCAGGAGGCAGAGGCAGGCGGATCTCTGTGAGTTTGAGGCCAGCCTGGTCTACAGAGTGAGCTCCAGGATAGCCAGAGCTGCTACATGAGAAACCCTGTCTGAACAAACAAAGACTTCAGCCATTGACCTCTGGCATATAAAGGTGATCCCAGAGAGGCAATCCCCAGCTGGAGTAGCAGGGAAGGCTGGACCCATTTCCCTTTCCACTCTCCACAAGCCTCCAGGGGCTTCTGTGGTGTCACTTAGCTCTGCACCCTCATCCACCCCCCTCCCCAGTTTCCCCTTCTCCTTTTTTCTTCCCCCAGTGATCTCACCTGCACCAGACTGAGAGTACAAAGCACAGGACCAGAGCCACAGAGAGGCAGAGCCTCCTCAAACAGTACCTGCAGGACCTAAAATAGAGAGAGGGGCTCAGTGGGGGGGATGAGAAAGCATCAGTCTGTCCTCCGGCATTTATCTGTAACAGGCCCTATGTGTACTGGGTACACAGTGGACAGAACAGAAAGTGTGCTAGCCCCCCTCCTCCCCTGAATGCAGACAGACTAACAAGCAGGCTTCTTCAGTGGGCCTTCCCGTCGCTGGGCAGGGTTGTGGTAAGGTTCTGAGGCAGCTGTTTTGATTTGAAGGTCTTTTGATGAGACTTCATTGTAAAGCATTACGCGTACTATCAGCAGTATTACCAAGAAGTGTGGAAGCTGGATGTCTGTCCTGGGGATTTGATCTGTGTGTGCCACTTCTCCCTGCTTCTCTCATCCATGAGCCACAGCTTTCCATCTTTCCTAACTTCTCGGCTGCATAAGGCTGCATAAAGCGGCCTTGGTAAAATGTCCTCCAAGGACTAGAGGGTACACGGAGACCTAAGCTGTCCCTAGTCTGGCTCGATTGAGCAGGCAAAGATTTCCCAAATAATATTTGAACACCAGGAAACCCACTGGTAGCTGGTGGCTCCTCACCTGAGGCACAAACCAGTGTGCCATTGTTTCCCGGCCCTGGAGCAGCAGAGCTGTATTGTACCCTTGTCCCACAGAGGCCAGCATGGGCTGGATTTGTGTCAACAGCTCCTGCTCTGCTTCCTGTAGGAACACAAAGGCACATCCCTCTGTGTCAGGTGACCTGGTACAACCTGCTCTGAGCAAAAAGACTAGACCAGTCAGAATCCCAGGATGCAGAGGCCTGGGAGCCTTCGTTCTCCTCCCCGTCCCTTTCTCAGAACCCTACCTGAGCAGCACCAGGGCCCAGAACTCTGTCAAAGATGAAGCAGTGTTCCTATGGACACAAATGGCGTCAGTAGTGGCATTTTCGTCTTCCCCTGATCCCCTCAACCCACACCATCTACCTGAGGCTCCAGAGTGCCTGGTTGAAGTAGGCGAAGGCTCTTGGATCCCTCCAAAAGAAGTGTGGGGCCATGGCTTTCCTTGAGGCCTGAGAGGGGTGGGCTTCATGTAGGTTTTCCTGAAAGATGAGCTCAGGGATTCCTCAGTCTTGCCTTCATCCCCAACCTCCAACCTGAGCTGGCTTAGCCCCTCCTCTCTGGCTGCCCTCCTTACAGCCTTCTTTTCTTCTTTTTAATGCAATTTTGGGAATTAAACTTGGGACCTCTCATACACTAGGCAAGTAAGTATTCTACCACTAAGCTACATTCCCAGTTGTTGTTTCTTCCCCCTTCTTTTTTGATACAGGTTTTCATGGCTTGTGGCTCAAGGTGGCCTGGAACTGTTATTTAGCCAAAGATGACTTTGAACTTCTGATCCTCCTGCCTCTGCTTTCCTAGTAATAAGATTACAGGTACGTGCCACACCGAAGTTGGCTTATGCTGTGAATCAAACCCAGGGCTTCACGAACGCTAGGCAAGCACCAACTGAGCTACACCCAGGCTCCCCAAAGTGTCTTACCTGATCCTTGACCGGGCTCCACTTCCACCACCACAATCAGTTTGGCAGGTGGGATGGGAGAGGCAGTGTGAGCCCCTTGAGGGCACAGAGCTTTCAGGTCCACAGCAGGCCCTGTGCTCACCACCTTTCCAGGCTCCATAGCTTCTGAGCCTCTCAAATTCCCCTTAATAATTCACTCCCCTCATCTGTGGGTGGGGTGGTCAGTGACTCTGGGCAGGTTACCTCTCAGAGGAAGTGACACTCCTTTCTCTTTAGTGTGTTTATCCCTTTATGAAAAAGTTCAGACAGTGCAGTGGTGGGAAAAACAGTATAATGAACCCTCAGGTGACCAGCTTCATCAGTTACCAACTTCTGGCCATTCTTATTTCTTTGGTTTCTCTTCCCACTAAACAAACTTTTAAAAAATGATTCTTTAACACCCGACTTCATAACTATTTCAGTATATACTTCTCATTTTTTTTTCTTTTATTCTTTTTCGGGACAGTGTCCTATCTAACCCAGGCTGAACTCACTATAGCTGAGGCTGGCCCTGAACTCCTGACTATTTTGTATGTCTGTTCACTCAGGTCCGTGAAAGAATAGGGGTCCTTCTAGGATGATTCTTGGCCTTTCCAGATGCATGGGAGTCAGCTTCTGGTGAACTGATTGTAGCTTCGCAAAAAGGGTTTTTATTGTTATACAGTTTATACCTTAGCAAGTCAGTTTCTGCATACCAAAACCTCTTATCTGAAGCTCCCCAAAGCAATTTCCAGTCACAGGACATCTCTTCCCAGAACCAAGTTTTGCATAGGCTTTGAACCTTTAGGAAACTCTCAGATAAGATTAAAATACTTCAAACAATAGGTACCAGATACAAAAGGCAGATCAAAGCCAGGTGCTAACACTCAGGAATCAAACCATCTGCAAGGCTCTGCGGGAACTCAGGATACACCGGAGCCTGCTGCGCCCACCTCCCAAGTGCTTCAGGGTACAGGCGTGTGCCACTATGCCAGGTTACTGTACATATTTCTAAAAGATAACCATTATTTATTTTTATTTCAGTTCTGTGAGATTATTTAATTCATATGACATATAATTTATCCTCTGTGTATGTGTATGGGGGTGGTGTGTGGAGGCCAGAAGCTGATGGTAGTGTCTTCTTCAATTGCTTCTTAATCTTTTTATCTGTTGGTTAGTTGCTTTTCTGTTACTGTGCTAAAATACCATGACCAGAAGAAACTTAACAAAGAAATTTGGATTATGGCTACACAGAGAAACCCTGTCCAGGAAAAAAAAAAAGAAGAAGAATGGAAAGCTGACTGATCACATTTCTTTCACACACAGGAAGCAAAGACCGAGAACTGGAAGTGGGGCAAGTCTTTAAACTTTCACATCTTACCCAGAGACGTCCTTCCTCAAACCAGGCTCTACTTACTAAAGGTTTCATGGCCTCCCTAAACTGATCAGGAAGCAAGTGCTTCAAAGACCCTATAGAGAACATTCTTTTAAGTTACCACAGTGAGTTATTTAAATATTTATTTGTTTGTTTAGAGACAGCTTTGAATTTAGCCTTGGCTGGCCCAGAGTTCACTATGTAGATCAGTCTGGCCTTGAACTCACAAAGATCTGCCTGACTCTGCCTCCTGAATGCTGGGATTAAAGGCATAAACCACCATGCCTGGTTCATTTAATTTTATTTTGAAAGAACCCCGGAGGCTCAGGCCCCTGGGATCTTGGCCCAGGACTGCAGGGACGCTAATCAT